AAGCTATGGCCATTAAGTTTTTTTAGCGTCAAAAAATCTCATATTCGTAATCTGAGCACTGAATAACCGCTGTTCGTAAGTTTTAGCTGTTCAGTAAGTCGTGGTACCATGTTGACGCCACGCCTTCCCCATAGATGAGGGTTTCGAGGGAAAACTCTTCTTCTTTTTCTTTCCAACGCTGATACCGCGAGACGCATTAATTGCGAAAAGTCTTCTTCCCCTAGTACATATTAGTCTCGTGCAGTTGCAGGGTCTGCTGTCCTTGTCACTCGTCTTCATGTTGTTCTGTCGAGGGTATCTTCTACTGTGGCCCTGATATCAGTGAAGTACCTCCAGAGAGGTCCCTCCACCTCTTGTTTGAGGCTTTTGCCTTGCACTTGTCTTGCGCTTCGATGTCCATCGCTGTCCTTATCGCGAGGTCCTGGGTCTTCCTAGGACGTGTCCATACCACCGTAGGCTCTGTTCCCGTCCCTTCAACTGGACTGAGGTAGTCTGCATTGACCGCTCTGACATGCTCGTTTTCGGACCCTGTCCAGTCTCGTGCAGTCATCTCAGAATCCTCATTTCGGCCGAGTGAAGCTGCCTTTCGTGATTCTTGTTCGGGACCAGCGCTCGCTGCCGTATAGACCTTACCTGTCTGGTACACCTTCTCTTTTGAGCGTTCTGGAGCACGTAGATCGCATATGATGCGTGGCTCCCTTTTTTTATTGGGTTTGTCCGGGAGTTCGCCGTTTTTATAGCTCACCCTTGGGTGCTTTATTTCTGGGTCACTTTCGAGAAACTGGCTGATGCTTTATATCTCTTTAGAAAGCGCATTCCCGCCCTATCTATATCTTACTGTTTTTCAGTCCTAAACCGCTTTTCCAATTTTTCTTTGGAGGAGTCTTGAAAACCTACTCAACAGCCTGCTTTGCACTTTCTTGTTTCCCCTCAAACTTGCTCGGAAATGTGCAGAAGCAAGTTGCGATATCTACTGAGCATTCGGTTCCGAGTCCACGAAAAATACGCTGTGGAGTCGTGATTCAAAAGACTATAACTTGGAAGGTTGCAGAAGACTTCTAGTTTCTAAATTGTGCTGAGCGTTTTTCTAAGCACGCCTATTCTCGAGAGTGGGAGACGTCGAGAAATTGTCGAGGAAATTGAAATTTACATGCGAGTTCCCACTCTTTGGAAGACAGTAGCTGTCTTCATTGGCAATGCTTTGAAAATCGGAGGAAAGCGTTGTAAAGTAGAAGATTTACGCTTTCTGATAGGTGCTCCAGTTGTTTCGAACGCTTTCTAGTTCGCGAGAAATCTGCGTCGAGGAAATGTCAAGGAAATTTTCGAAGCCACTCGAAAACTCTATTACTCCCTCGCCGTAGTAGGGAACTTCTTTGAACACCTTCAAAATACTTCTGTACACGTCAGTTCGATGGAGTAAATTGAAAATGATGCACTTGGCGCGGATCCATTCCGTTCTTGTATGCGCCATGCAGTGACCCCACTCGGAGTCATTGGGAAGGTGTTTTTTAGTGACGACTTGCTTAAGCACACCAAAAGATATTTCCAGTATTAACTAATTAGGATAACTCTTGTGGTCATAGTGATGTCTGATCATTCCTTTATTCAAATCGCTTCCTTTCCAACCCGTTCTGATGAATGACACGCTTGCGGTTGCAGGATCTGATGATGCCAAGAAGGCTGCGAATCTGCCTGTTTTGAACTTTCTACCAAGATGCTGTTCCTCCACTAAGTTCTCGAAGCATGTACATCATTCTAGAGTAGATACTCGCTGCCCTTTCCCTACGATTCTTTTGCAGGACGCGTTGCCTTCCTATGCCATACTGATCACTACGAACCAAACCAACAACCACTTTCCATTTGAATTTTAATTCCAGACAGTTGTAAGATATTATTTGCATTAGGCTAACTACAACACTTGTGAAACTAATGATGACAGCAAATAAGTGGCAGCAGCACCGTTGTGTCCGTTGATGAACCTTTTGATTACGACCCCCTCCCAACTCTCATCGGAGCAAATACGACCCCCTGTCGAGGATTTCCTCGACCGTTATTCACCCTGCAGTGGACTCCCTTCATTTCATTGGGTTGTCCGGAAAGTTCCCGCCGTTTTTATAGCTCACTTTTGATGCTTTATTTCTGGGTCACTTTCGAGAAACTGCTAATGCTTTATATATCTTTAGAAAGCGCATTTCCCGCTCTATCTATATCTACTGTTTTTCAGTCCTGAATCGCTTTTCCAATTTTTCTTTGAAGTCTTGAATACAACATACTCAACAGCCTGCTTTGCACTAGTTTCTTGTTTCCCTCAAACTTGCTCGGAAATGTGCGGAAGCAAGTTGCGATATCAACTGAGCATTTGGTTCTGAGTCCACAAAAAATACGCTGTGCAGTCGTAATTCAAAATGTCTTTCCTCGCGATGTTGAAAGCTTCGAAGGAGATTAGTGATATCGGAGACTGATAAAGATCAGCTGAGGGTTTTGGCCAAATCAAATCTGCATGAAACTGTTGAAAAAGCTGCTTCTGAATTGGGCGTAACCGACACAAGGTTTTCAAACATAGCAGTGAGGGTAAAAACCCAAAGAAGTCGAAAATTGGGTGCCGCCGAGCATTTTTCCCACTGTTGCGCAGCCCCATCTCGCACTTCCAGCACTGCACAAGTTGAACTAGCTGAGCTACAAAATTGTGCTGCAAACATTTTACACACTAGACCTATTGCCTGCCAACTATCACTTTTCTAACCATCTGGAAGGTCTACTTATAGAGATTGAGCATTGAAACCGAACATGGTGGTGAAACGACCTTCGCCGAGTTCTTAGCTCACAGAACTCCAGCACTTCCAACATCCGGATCAGTCAAACTCATTTCTTGTAGGCAAAGGTATGGGATTGTAATAGTTTTTATTTCGAGCAAAGGCGCTTGTTTGAACCGAGATATGCGCTTTTGAATTTCGAGAGTCAAAATCGGCGGAAACTTTCCGGACAACCCAATACATACTATGAGCAAGCCGTAGACTACTATTCTTACCTCTGAGCGGTTATCAAACGAATCATAACATGTGAAAGTAACGTGGAATCCAAACTATCCGAGTCGAAGTGCTGAAGGAGCCAAATG